GTACTTTAAGGATTTGTACTTAACTCGATTAAGCACGAATTTAATTATTAAGATCATGTCTTTGTAAAGAAGAATTCATGATATTTCGTTTGTAAAATCTGAGAAGGCACTTGACCCGAAAATATCCGAGTAATGAGTAAATACCTGAAGAATAATTTATCAGGGTATTCTGCTATCAGAATTATTCGAAAGGACTGAAATAAATGATAAGATTGAATTTAATAATAAGATCAGACGGAAGAAAAGGATTAAAATACATTGAATCTGTAAAATGACCAAAATGCCCCTGTAATGAAAATGAACCAAGAATATCACTAAACTCAGGAATGAATGGATATCTTCGAGCTCTGATATGAATGGAATAAAACTGAACACCAAAATACCCTTATGGCTTATACCAAGTAAATGTCTTGGATTAATTAAGGAATCCAAATAAGCATGGGTGTTGGACTACCTTTAAAAGTAATAGAACATAATTTAAGTGAGTAGATCAACCCTAAAGCTATGTCAATACCTGAATGGCATAGATATTACTGGAATACATGTTCGTCTTCTCAAGTGTGACTCGATGATAAATTTTGGAAGTATTCAGCTTAGCTCAACTCTGGATCGCATTCAGTACTAAGAATTGGACGTTTGTTCGACAAATCAACCACGAAGACCAAATTGAATGGAACGGAAGTACAACACATGTCTGAAATTCAGGAACGCTTGAATTACTCTGGAAAATCCCGAAGTAACTGGAATGGACATGACTGTTAAATGAACTAGGTAACCTCAATAACTGAGGATTAAGTAAGTAAATTGGATAAGTCTGGAAATTCTGATGAGTTTATAAGATATATTTTCCTTATGGAACATGAACTACAAATCAAGCATGTCAGTATTTCATGATATCGTGGAAGCTTGGAAATGAAATAAAGACCATTGGAAGATCTATTCAGAGATGATTCTGAAGATGATCTATGGACAAGAATTTGTGGTATTAAAGAGTAAATACCTTGGAAGGAAAATGAATTGACCAGTCGACATAGATTATTAAGATTCTGAATCTTCGTTCTTAAGTTGTTCGATTATCCGATCAATTGACATGGATGTAAAGGATTTTGAATACTCTTCTGATTACGTACAACTTCTGAAAAATGTCCGAATAAGATATGATCCTGATAATTCACATTCTGAATAACTGATGATTTCATCAGTTAATGAACTTTTCCAATAGTGATTCTAAATTTCGACATTTTATCGATATACTAAAGATCCGTGTTCCTCTGCCTGCTAAGATTATCCAGTACCTCTGAATAATATCTGTAAACTCTGGTGTGTTCCCTAGTCATATAAATATTTTATCTGATTTCTGACTTGAATTCTGTTCTGATACATGACCTGAATTCTGTTCTGATTTCATATCTGAATTCTGTTCTGAATTCTGTTTTGATTTCTGATATCTCCGTTTAAGGACGTAAAATGTTTTAATTGGGGGTATTGTTGAAGGAAGTATTTCTGCAGGTTCCTCGGCTTTGTGCTCAGGGCCTTACAGGTTGGGTGGGTTGGGTGTATGGTTCTGGGGAACCTACACAAACAGATTGTGAAATGATGGGGTATATATATATATGTTTTAAAAGATCTGTATCTTTTTACTGGTTTTACGGGAACACACTAGAAAACCTATTCTGATCTCCTGAACTCAGTCATCCGAAATATTTCTCTGAACTGGAAGCTCATTGTCCGTTACCATCTGAAATATCAGTAGGATCTCTGCTCAGCATAAAAATCTGTAAATGTTTAGAAACAATAAGGAAATATATATTTATTTGTATCTGCACGTTCATCAGCATCATCTGGTAGTTATGTATTACTGAGCTTTTCGAAGCTCACTCTATTACTCAACATTGCAGGTTAAAAGAATTATACCAGTGCAGCTATCGACTTCAGTAAGGAAGTTCTTCCGGTGTTGTTTGTAGAGTACGGTACATGTGATTAGGGGGCATGCAATTGTATTTTATTTTATATGTGAGTCTGAAAATCTGTTTTAATTTTACATACCGATTAATGATTTTATAATTTACATGTTCTGATAAAAAAAATTTAAAATTTTTGCTATTTTTACCGTGGGTCGCTCTTGTGACCCTAATGTGACTTCCTGAATCAGATCGGGTTACCTGCATCGGTCTAGGGGTTACAGTTTATCTTCACCTTCATGTTTTAATATCGATTGCTCCCATGGCCGCGCATGTAAAGCCCAATAAAAAAGCATTGTAATTTGAAGTACCATTTAATAATTGAAACTTTTTGTACTTAAAATTTCACGGCATTTAAATTTAAATTAATCACATGAAGATTAACATATATCAATAGACAATATGAATATACTTAAATTTATGTAAATTTTATCTATAAATTCGGAGAATGAATGGATGATAATTCATATTCCATACTTTATACTATTCATGTCTAAAATCTCATGTACGAGAGTTGTACGCACATAAGTATTATTGGGAACACTTTTTATTATATTATAAATTAAATTCATAGCTACACGAATGCATCCAAAACTTTACAGGTAAATGTTAATTTATAATATTTGAAACCCAAAAATGAAAAAGAAAAATGGTGCAAAGCGAGCTTTGAGAGTTGTAAAATACATAATAACTGAAACAGGACGAACAACCTTACAATACTGTACGTTCTAGTCGATACAGGAAGTAAAGAAGGTTGCATTCATCCACGTTTTTTTTTTACAAAACCTTCAATTGATAATACAAACAAATCCACTAATGGAACTCACATTGAAATTGATTTTCTTTTATATTTGTCAAAAATAGACTTTGCTTCGTTAAAGGCCACTGCTTTGCCTTTGTTTACAGCCTAAGGAAACTCCTCCATGCGTTGAAAGTCATCGGGAAGGTTGAATCTCCCAAGGAGAGCGTTGGATTTTTAAATCCTTTTGTCTAAAACACCCTTCCTGCTTTTTGATGCATTGCTTAGTTAGCCTAAAGTTGAAATTGTATATATGCATAAAGCTGAGGGGTATACATGGAAGAAAAGCAGACAGTCCATACCTTGCTTCAAATTTGGCTTTCTTTTGAGATGCAAGTGCTTTTCAACTCATTGTTTGTTTATTCGGGCAAATATAAAGTAACACCATTTGGTAAAATGTGTACAACATGTATGCTCTTTCCTGAACATTGATTGTAATCATGGAAAAAATGTTAAAGAAATTATATAAAATTATAACTCAAATTTGAAAACTAACATAGATTAAATGTATCTATTTTTCTATTTTTTAGTAAATAACTACTCATAAAAACTATTTCCTTAAAAAATTACTTTATTTTAAATTTTATCTTTTTTAAATAATTACTTTGAAAGAAAAAATCTTAAATTTTTATCACATCGGTTTACATTACATATTTGGCCACATTAATATTTTTTAATTTTGTATTTTAAAATAAAATTTTTTATGTTATTAGTATACTAAATAATAATCTTATCTATCTATATGTCTGTATGTATATATGTAACGATGGAGTGTGATAAAAGTACCATACTATTGTAAATGTTGTCTTAATTCTCTATCGCCATTCATAATATAAATAATTAAAATGTGTTAACTCAGGGTTAACGGATTTCAACAGCTAGGTAAAACTTTTCAGCACCCCAAATAATTATCACCGATTCCATTGAAGTAAAGCAAATATATACTTTGTTAAGGAAAATACTTAAACCACGAAGTACTAATCCAAAACATCATCCATGAAGATCCTTTGGTTCCTTAATCTCAATTTTTAAAAGAGAGTGTGTATACACGTGTTCTATGTAATGTATGAATTAAATAATGTTATTGGTAATCCATTTCTAAAACGATGGAATCGTTTAAGTCGATAGTGTATTTATGGGATGGATTAGGTTGTTTTAAATAGTTTCGTCATTTTTATCTATTAATATTTTAATAAATTGATCGTTAAATATATTTAAAATGATTTAAATTAGTAAATTGAATAAAAATTTTAACAATAAGAATATTAAAATATTATTCAACAAAGATTATTGAAGTATATAAAAACTACACTAATTTCACACTAATGTAAAAGAATCTCTTTTTATACAAGAGATATATTTGGAAAATAACAGTGCATCAAACGAAAAAGTTATTATATAGAAATCATATATGTGAATTTTAAATTAATCTCATTTAATTTGAATAATGATGATAACAAAATTGTTAGGAAAAAATTTGATATATATATATGTTATGCAAACTTTAATTTATATAAGATTATTATTTTTTAACTATATATGTTTCGGTTTAAGATTTGACATTGGAAGATTTAAGTTTATGATTTTATATTTTAAGTTTTAAAATTTAAAATTTTGTGAGTTAGGGTTATAGATTTTAGGGTAAACTATGTATTTAGTATTAAACTATAAGTTTTGGTTTGGTTTAGAACTTAAAATTTTAATTTATTTTTAAAAAATACTTAATGTTTAGTTTTCATTTTATTTTATTACCCGCGGTTAAAAATTTAACGTGTTTAATACATAAACTATCAATTTAGGTCCATTTTAATACCTAAACTTTCAATTATTTCAAAACTTAATATTAAATTTTAAACGGATTACTAAAATGAAATAAAAGTTAAAGTTTTTAATGGCAGGATTTTAAAATAAAAAAATAACTAAACTTTATATATGACTTTAAAAAAAATTAAAAATTTATTTAGTAAAACAAACCAAAACTGATAATTTAGATATTAAATACATAATTTATCATAGATTTTAAGAGGGTAAAAACTCCACTACCATTAGATAAATGAAATTACAATCCACGTTTAGCAATTGGTTTCTTTCCTTTTGTCTTCACCCCTTCCGCTCCCCCTTTATATACCTCTCCTCTCCTCAAACTCAAACAACAGCTATTTCCTCTTCTCTCATTCTCTCTCAATTAACAGAGAGAAAAAAGAAAAAGAGTGAAATACTAAAAGCAGAGGCGAAAGAAAATGGAACAGAATACTGCAGTGACCGCCAAAAGAGTATGGAGCATTGTAAAAGCAGTTCTCTTCATGATGAGGAAAGGAATTTTGTCCAAGAGAAAACTCATGGTTGATCTCAACATGAAGCTTAAACGTGGCAAGATCGCCGGCGCCAAAGCCATCGGCAACCTCATGTTCCACAACCACCACAACAACAACAACCGCCAGGTTTCAACATCCTTCACGGCGGAGGCGCCAGCTGCAGCCGATGAGTACGAGTTCAGCTGCAGCAACACCCCGAACTACATTTTCCCTTTTAACCTCGCCGCCAAGAAGAAGAGCAACAACTACTACCAGCATTTCTTCGCCTGCAGCCACGCGCCTCCCACCCTCGACGACGACAACGTGGCCACCATGAACGCCGTAAAAGTTGCCTTGGAGATGCTCAACAACAACAACAACAACAACAACGTGGTCGCAGCTTCTCCCATGTTACCAGGGTTCGGACAAACTCCTTTGGCGAGGCAACTCAGAATAACGGACTCGCCTTTTCCTTTGAGGGATGTGGATGAAGACAACGACTACGTGGACAAGGCTGCCGAGGATTTCATCAACAGATTTTACAAGGATTTGAAGCTGCAAAATAATAGAATGGCTGAGTTATAAAGGGAGCTCCTCCTTCAATGTTGTTTTCTGATAACTTGATTTTATATGTGGGTGATTAATTTTTGGGGATTTTAATTCTGTAGTTGATTTCAACAAATAAAAAGAAAAATTACGTGAAAATAACTATTACCGACGAAAACAAAAGCTTTCCCAACGAAACTTCTCACACGATAATGAATTTTCAATCATTTAACAGCAGCTTTTCACTTGAATCCGCTTGACTTCTGGACGTAATTAGAATGTAAAATCCTGTTTGGATTGTCCATTAATTCAACCATAAATCACATACCAAGCTAGTAAAAAATCGCCGTAAAAACGATAACTTTTGCCGACAATATATGTAGCGACGCTTACAGAACTCGTTGGTATGGAACTATTGATGGCAGCCCTCTCAAACTCTCATTAAAGGCGAAAAGTTATAGGTATTAGGTAATATGTCATTAACATACCTAAAACATTGAAGTTCAGTTATTGCACCTTCAATCATTACACCGAAGCAAAATCTTTAGCGAAAATTTACTATATAATAAAAATTCTCACGTGGTTAGTTTTATTGTTGACGCATAAGTAACTTTTTATTGTAAAAAATGGTTATTTAAAAATAAATAAATTTAACTATCGTAATATTTATTTATTAAATATTATTTTATTCAAATCATTTGATAATTATGTAGAATTATAACCTCTAAATTTTAAATACTATATTCTAAAATGTTAAATTTTATATAAATTATACATGAGTACATAAACTAAATTTTAATATATTAAATTCCTTTCTTTGAAACCTAGACTTAATTACAATTTGTATTAATGATTTAAAATGTAACATGGAACACGCAACTAAGACATATACTTGTTATTTAATAGAAAAAAAAAGTAAATTTACGTACATTGAGATGACATTAAAATTAAATTTTAACTATTGACTTGTGTAATATAAATATATTTGATTGATTTATTAAGTTGTTCATATTTAGTCTATCATAACTTTTTATGTTATGAGTTTTAAAATCACTAAGGGCACTTTCATTCTTTCCTTAGAGTCCTCATTTTTGGAAATTTCTGGTGTGTGGCGCCTAAAAACGGTTAAAAAACGGCGTGACTTTTTAAACAAATGACCGGTTAAAATTTAGACTGGTTATGTTATATCATTTAACCGAAAATATTATTAAGTACAATAATATATTAGGTAACGCTTATATAATGTAATAGGTAGCGCTTATATTGACCTATTTTCTAACTAAACAGGTATATTTAAATCGGTAACATTGTAAATTTACCTATTACATTATAATTATCGATTTTGATGTTTTTGAGATTGATACAATTTCAAATGTATTGACACTTTATGTGTGCACCTCGTTGTGTTTTCATTTTGGGAAAAAAGTATCGACACATATTTAAAGAGTGTTAATACATAATGTAAACCTATTTGCTAATTAACCAGTATATTTTTACCGGTTACATTGTAAATTTACCTATTACATAATAATTATCGATTTTGATGTTTTTTGGATCGATACTTTTCATAAATGCATCGACACTTATGTGTGCACCAGTTTGAGTTCTTCAATCAACAGTTTCAATGACACAAAATCCTAATCAAAAAAATAAAACTAAAACTGACCTAATTTTATCTTATGGAGATAATAAGAGTATATCATAAGTTTGCGTTGAGAAATGTCTGTTTCTGGGTTTTTGTTCTTTGAGAAACTTATAACATGGTGGATTTTTTTACTGGGTTTTGCTTAAAATATCCAACTTTTTGTATTAAAAATGAAAAATCTGAAATAAAAATGACCACACAAGCACACTTTTTTACTACTGGTTTAGTCATTTTGAGACCGATTTTTTCATATTTTTACCTGTTATATTGTTATGGATCGATACATTTTTATAAAGTATCGACACTTTATTGACGCTGTAACTTCTTCTCTTTTAAATTCCAAAAGTGTCGATACTTATAATAAAGTATCGACACTTTCAACATATTTAGTAGCTCTTTACCGGTTTTGTTATTTCGAGACCGATTTTGTCATATTTTTACCTGTTATATTATTATGGATCGATACATTTTTATAAAGTATCGACACTTTATTGGCGCTATAACTTCTTTTCTTTTAAATTCCAAAAGTGTCGATACTTATAATAAAGTATCGACACTTTCAACATATCCGGTAGCGCTTTACCGATTTTTTCATTTCGAGACCGGTTTTGTCATATTTTTACCTGTTATAATGTTATGGATCGATACATTTTTATAAAGTATCGACACTTTATTTGCGCTATAACTTCTTCTCTTTTAAATTCCAAAAGTGTCGATACTTATAATAAAGTATCGACACTATCAACATATCTGGTAGCGCTTTACCTGTTTTGTCATTTATAGACCGATTTTGTCATTTGTTTACATGTTATATTGTTATGGATCGATACATTTTTATAAAGTATCGACACTTTCAATATATCCGGTAGCGCTTTACCTGTTTTGTAATTTATAGACCGGTTTTGTCATTTTTTTACTTGTTATATTGTTATGGATCGATACATTTTTATAAAGTATCGACATTTTCAATATATCCGGTAGCGCTTTACCTGTTTTGTCATTTTTTTTACTTGTTATATTGTTATGGATCAATATATTTTTATAAAGTATCGACACTTTCAATATATTCGGTAGCGCTTTACCTGTTTTGTCATTTATAGACCGGTTTTGTAATTTTTTTACCTGTTATATTGTTATGGATCAATATATTTTTATAAAGTATCGACACAAACCGATAAGCTAAGTTTTTCGGTTGCCAAATTTTTTAATATTTCTTCATGATTTCCACCTATTACATTATTATTACTCGATATTTCCAGTAGCGCTAAACCGAATTTGTCAAATATCTTTTAATATATCCGGTAACACCGTATATTAGTCGTATATTAATCCGTCTTTCCGGAGACAACCCCTCATTTTTCCTTTTCTCTAAGTAGAATTAGAACTATGTTTGTACTTTATAAAAAAATTGACCTATATCATATATACCTATTCGGAATTGATGTATTATGAAATTAAATTGTTTATTAAATGAAAATTATTAATTAATCATGTGATTAAATATATTCATGTTATCTTATTTTATTTAAAATTAAATATGAATATTTATCTTAAAAATTTAATACATTTATATTTGATAAAAAAACATTTATTATTCGGATGGCCCAATTTTGTTATATTTTAATTTTAGGTCATAGAAAAAGCTAAATCCCGGAAATGCCCCAAAAAGAAAAAGAATGGGATAGTGGTGGCGAAAGGCTGCCACCGCTTCATTATTGAACTCAACACATGATCCCTCTCTTTTCCGGGTTATATATTATTCCTCGCGAGGGAAAATTCTAATGAAACTCAATTAACTTAAGGTAAAAATTATTCAAAAAGTTTTAAATTTTGTTATAAAAATTATTATATTTAAAAAAATAGATGAAATGTTATCAAAATTGCAATAATTTGGATAATTTTTTTTATAGAAAATATCATTCAACCGATCATTTTTTTGAATTAATCATTGATATTCGATCTATTAACGACTAATTCAGATTAAATACTGTAGAGGTGAGGACGACCCTCCCAACACAGTTTGCTCCATTCACAAACGCCAGGATTCAACCGATCATTAATTATTTGGATTAATTAAAAGAGTTTGCTTAATGCTGGATTTTAAAATGATTTTGAAGTAGTCGTTAATAAAGTGCAATGCTTATTAGAAAAACAAACAAAACCGGATACCAATTTGCCTTAGAATAAGTATCCTTTATCAAACCCAAGAAATTTAAGAGTCGTTGAAAATTATGAATGTCTAAGAAAATGAGAATGCTTAATGCTTAAGTTGGGGAAGAATGTGAACATTTATTAATATGAAAATATAAAAATCAAATTAATGAATATTATTTATATTAATAGTGGTAAGTATTGGAAAATACTATCATTATGTTTGTGGGAAGTTTTTAATGAAATTAATGTCTTTATTCTTGTTTCGTATGGGTTAGTTTAATAAAATCGTGTAAAATTTCTTTTCAAAAAATATGTATATAATTTAAAGATAGTACATCAAAATTGCAATAAATATAATCAATAACCAATTGATCTAGTGGGATAGATATTAGATACTTTAAGCAATATTCGAGGTTCGAATCTTAATATTATGAATAGAATAAATTAAGTTGAGAGTATCGTCTCTAAAATGGGCTTTTGAGTAGGGATATTCAAATCCGGGTACCTGTGACTTTCTGGTCACAAAAATTTGGCTCATGACCCGGCTCGTAAGAGGCAGGTACATGTAAGTCGGATACCCATAAAATTCGGGTACTCGCACTTTCGGGTCACGGATACCCGATTAATATATTTTTACTTTATATTAATTTTTTATAGAAAAATCCACATAAAAAATATAAGATTTAAAACTTAAAAGCTTATATAATACATAACATAAACATACAATTTATAAATTCAAATTATATAATCTAAAAATAAAATATAAAAACTTAAATTAAATTATAGAATTACAATTAAATATAAAATAATTTGAGATCAAATAAACAATTTAAAAAAATAAAATGTTAAGGTGAAATAATTTGAAAAATAGAGATTTAGAATGTCAGAAAAATTAGAAATGAAAATTTTAATTTAAAATAAAGATAGTAATAAAATAAAAAGGGGAATCGAGTATGTGGGTATTTGGTTAAGGGTAATTTTGTGACCAGAACCCGATTCGAAAACTCATAAAAAATAATGGGTCAGGTACCCAGCCTGTAAAATTAGTATTTACCTCTAAAATATCCAGTAATTTTATATCAAGTCGGTGGGTCAACAGGTCAAGTAATTCAAATGGGATACTTTTAAACACCCCTACTTTTGAGTATCTAATTAGTGAATCAATATATCAAGTAATTATGATTATTACTAATTAATGCAAAACACAATTCTAATTATAACATTTTCAAACACAATCCAC